ATGCACTGAGTAAGCAAGAGCAACCCACCAAGGAAGGACCTGATTCTCAGCTGGCTTCCTTGTTTTCTGCTGGCCCATAGAGAGAAGCATGAAAAGAGATAAAAACTTGTCTCTTGCATAGAAAAAAAAAATTAAGGCAATTAACCTGTGTCAGGGTGTTCACAGAAACACAGAACTCACCACAGAAATGTGATTAAGGAGGAGACTGGCCCATAAACCCATTTCCATATTTGTAAATTTGGAATTCTTAAAGGCCTCTGTGGTGTTCATTGTAAGTGTCAAGTCTCTACTGGGCAACAATGTTCACCATAATGTTTTTCTTTTTGTTTTAACCAGCACCCCATATCAAAATGAAAAACATTTCCAGAATTCCCCAAGTTTCCCTCATATCACAATATTTTATTATAAAAAGGTAGAAATAATGTTAAGTATCCAACCACAGAGGAAATGACCAAGTAATTGATGATACATACATATGATGGGATATCAGAAATGAGGTTTAGAAGAATATTTGATGACCTGGTAAAATACATTATAATGTTAAGTAGGAATAAAAATCAGGCTACAAAATGGTATTTATAATACAATCTTGTGTTATTAAAATACAGTTTCATATTGTAAGTCAAAAGACAGGCGTTAATGCAACGAAACATTTAACAGCGGATTACGCAGGACAGCAGATTCATAGATTATTTTTATTTCCTTCTTTTATTATTTTTGTCTTTTCTACAATGAGCATATCTCACATATATAATCAGGAAAGAACTTAAAATATTATTTAAAAAATATCTAACTTTCAGGGTTGGGTGTGGATTGAAATAATTTATGCAAAGTCTCTGTCATAGGGCCTGGCACATGAGAAAGCATTTGTTCCAGTTTTCTGTTCCTAGACTGTGCAGTTACGCAGGATGGAATTCACTTTCCAGGTTTGAACCTACACACTTCTCACATAATCCAAAGCAAAGGCCACAGGCAATAGCCTTTTTTAAGAAGACACATTCATTCATTCATTCACTCACTCACTCACTCACACATTCATTCATTCATTCAAAAATGCACTCAGTATCTATGACATATTTAGCACTGAACTAGGTTCTGGGGATACCAAAACTGAAAAGATGATATCTCTGCCCTCAAGTAGCTCTGGCTAATGAGGGACACAGGTGTATTTATGACTATGATATGATGAAATAATTACTTTCAATAAAGATGTACACAAAGGGCAATGGGGACCAGGAGGAAGGAGGCCTTTTACAGAGGAGGTATACGCTGTGAGTTGTAAAAGGGAGGACATTAGTGGGAATAGCACGCACAAAGAAAGAGGCATAAAGGAGTATAAAATTTTCCCAGAACTATAAGTAGTTCAGTCTTGCTGGGACATAAAGAAAGAACCGGGAGGAGGAGTGGCGGGAAATAAGACTGAACAAGTAGATCACAAAAGGTCTTGTCTGTTACACAAAGGAGACTGAATTTTATTCTGTAGGGGAACCACCAAAAGAATTTTAAACAGAGGAGTGACTTGATCAGCACTAGCAAAGATACCAGGAATCCTGAGAATCATCTTAATCCCGCTGATTTCCAGAGGAAAGAAGGCGGCCCCATCCTCTAGGTCTGTCCTCTCTTAAATGAAATAACATGAAGCAGCAAACAGAACTCCACACCTGGCACACAGTAAATACTCAATAAAGATCAGCTGAACATGAATGTGAATGTGCTGCATGGGGCAATCCCTGCTGAGAGCACAATTTTAGCAGTACCAGCACCTTCAGTTTGGTCTTGGGTCAAACAATAGAAACTCATTTGGAAGGGACTAGCGACAACTGAAAATTGTAGAATCTAACACGCAACAGGAGAAGGGCACCATATACTGTTCTGTTGTACTCCAGGGCAGAAATTCCTCTCATGGCTTTCTTTCCATAGCTGGGATTTAAGTCCCAATAATGGGATAACATCGGTTTTTTTCCCCACACACTAACCTACCTCTCTGGGATCCTGGGTGACAGGTGCTTATGCGCACACATGGTTAACTGGAGGAAGTTCATTAGTGGTTTTACTCCTGCTGTTTTACCCAATATCTCTTCTGCTTAACTCAATAAGTTGAATGGTTCTGCAGATAAATACTGAAGAAATATAAATACTATTGCATTTCTGCCTCCACTCACTGAGTGCATGCAAAATGCTTTAAGTAATCAGGACAGATGTATTAGATATATTTTATAGGCGAAGACAATGGGACTCAGAGAGGCAAAGCAATTTACCCAAGGACACTCTGATATTAAGTTGCAAAGCCACAAGGGAAAGCCATATTTATCGGACTCAGTTATCTCAAGAATAGGGTACTGTATCCTACAAAGTCGGAGTCTAAGGCAAAACAAAATTGCCAGGATACAAAAATGATACATTCTGTGAGGCTGAAAAAATATTTTGTAAATTAAACTCAAAAGGGAGCAAAGAAGAAACATATATGGGAAAAGAGAAAAAGGGGAGAGAGACACCAGAAGCCAACGTCAGCTAGGCCCTGGTCTGCAAGGAGGGATGAGAGAACCTGGGTCTGGGAGGTGGGTTGGAGGTAATTCTTCGCCCCCGAGTTGTGCAGGGGCGGGGAGGGTGTTTGAGAGCGGGAACCTGAAACAGGGCCGAGAAAGGAGCAAGTGAGCACCTGTCCAGCCTGGCCTGCCCCCCTTACCTGCCATGAAACCAGTCCTGGCACATGTCACACTCGATCATGAAGCGGGTCACATCATAAGGCAGCCGGCAGAGGCAGTACACTGGCACTGAGGCCATCTTCGCCCGGCCTTGGAGCGCTCGGCGGCGGGCCAGGTTCGTAGCGTCAAGAGAAGCAGGAGGCAGCAGCACGCGTCCTTTCTGGACGATGGCTGGGCACAAACAACACTTTTTACCTAGTGAAACAGCTCCCCCGGGGGTGCCAACCCGCAGTTCACGAATGGGCAGTTAGCGCTGCCGGGATGCAACACAGCTGGTGTGGCTGTAGGGGGCAATCGGAGAAAAGTCCACCCGCCTCCAGAATTTCCTTAACAAATAAAGGACGGCGTTCGACCGTCGAGGGTTTTGTGTGTGTGTGTGTGTTTTTCCCCTCCCTACCTCCTTCGGGCCCCCAGAGTCAGTGATAACTTCTTTCCGGGTTTCAGGGAAATATCTGACGCCTTTTCAGGAAGCTTCTTTAATCCCTCACGGTACCCTCTCCTTGCTCACACCTTTCTTCCTAGGGCTCTATTATGACGCAAACCAGAGCCTGAATGGGCCGGGGTACCTCAGAAAAAGCCCCTTCTCTCATCCCCAAAATCTCTCTAGGGGCAACGAGAGAGAGATGAGGGATCCCTGGAAGTTGGCTCAGATTACTCGAGAATTACCTCGATGCCTTCAGGAACAAGGCAAACAAGACTAGGCGCCCAACTCAAATCACAGTCCTGGGGTCGTGCTGAGAGTTTAAATGGTCTTCTCCTTCACTCTCAAAATCATTCCATTCCCGAAAGAGTATCATCACCCCAACAAATGAAATAAATCTTAATTTCAGAACTGATCCGATCGTCCTCTACTTCAAAGACGACAGGGCTCCCGTTGCACCCCCAAAACTAAAAAGGATCTCCTCCAAACCCCTGAAACTGACTAGAATTTCTTCACACTCCTGCAACTAAGCAAGGATTTTTTTTGCCTCACCGATCAGAAGCCGGCAGGCAGCATTTCCTCACAGCCCCCTCAAAGTGAGGAGGACTCCCTTGTCCCCCAAAACTGACAGAGATCTCATCACAGATCCCAAGACTGACAGGAATATTCTTGCAGCCCCCGAAACTTACGAGATCTCCTCACGCCTCCCAAATGACAGGAACCTCCTCACGCCCCAAACCTGACAAGAACGTCTTTCGTCCCAAGCCCTACAGAGACCTCCTCATCTGCAAAGCTGCAGGGATTGCTCACACTCGCGGAGTTCAGTTCCAGCGACGCGCCGGCTGCTGGGCTCGCTCTGGAGCGCCTGGGCGCCTAGCTCAGCGGACGATCGGCCAGCAGTTCCGGCCCCACCGGCAGCGCGCGCCGAATTCTGGGATCGTCACGGCAACGCTGCGAACCTTGCTCGCCTTCCCCCAGAACCACCCGCTGGGTCGTGCGGCCCTAGGCGCCGGGCGGTGCTTCAGGGCAGGTTTCCCCACGGTTTTGCCCCGGGCCCGGCGTTAGGGCCTACTGGAGCCCGCGGTTCGGGCCTAGTCCGGTGGCCGCCCGGTGAACAAGCAAACAGCGTCGTCGCTGGGCCAGCAGGAGATCGCCGCGAGCAAACCAACCAGGAATGAGATGCGCCGGCGGCCAGGTCGGAGGGAAAACTGCCCGGAAAGCCGCCGGGAGAAGACCGGTGGCGGTAGTAGGCGATTCGAAGTAGTCAATAAAGTTTATTCAAAACAAGGAGGAAGTTGAAGCGGAGAGGGGAGGAGAAATACGGGGTAAACAGCTACCATATTGAGAGTGGCGGCGCCGCCGCGGGGAGGCTATCCGACCGCCATCTTATGAGGGCTGGGCACACGAGGTAACCGCGGCAGAGGCGGGGAAGGGAGGCTAGCGGCTCCCGCGTGACGCCAGCAGAGGCGGGGCACCACCTTGAGAAAAGGGGACGGGATTCGGCTACCTCTGGACCTGCTCCTTTCCTCTAGGTAGCCAATCGACGCTGAGGACCTTAAGCCACCATCTTAGGCGAGGCAGTCGCTTGGCTCCATTTTGAGTGGGGCCAGAACCCTCCCAGCCTTCCTCCTCCTCCTCCGGGTAAATGAGGAGTTAAGCACCCCCACCCCCACCCCGGCACCAACACACACACATACACACACCCCCACACACACACACCCTCCCACACACACACACACACACTCCCTCCCTCCTCCTCCTCCACCCCCTCCTCTCCCTTCGCGCCTTCTTGTCCTATGAGAGGAGGTGAACTCAGTGACTGCAAACTGCAAAACTAATGGGTGGCGGCGGGGGCGGGCTTCGGCCAGGGAAGGGGTGGAGTACTCACAGCAGCTCCTGTTCTTTGAGCACGTTCAGCGGGCTAGGCTGTTCTGCACGGTCTCCGAAACGTTTATTCTTCACCCTGTAAGGAGAGCTCTGTTATTATCCCCAGGTGAGGACACGGACTTAGGGAAGACAAGTGGCTTGAATTTCAGAGCCAGGAAGTTGAACTTTGCACCCTCTACCTTCCCCGCGTTCTGTCTTTGGTCCCTCAGTCGGTCCCTCAATCCTAGTTCCTCCATAAAGCTGCTGTCGACTTCCCAACTCCTCTGAACTCTCTTTTCTTTGACTCTACTGTTTCGGTTCAGTTTGCTTCAGATACAGTGCAAGGATTTTCGTGCCCAAGTCCCAGGATTTTCTGACTACAGCCTGCGGGTGGGGTGGGAGAAGAGGTTAAATGAATGGAACTCCACACACATGCTTCAAGATGGCGCTGGTGTTTCCTGACATTCTAGAATATTCTCTAGGAATCCTCATTATTTCATTTTCTTAAAGGGTCCCACCACTTTAAACAAAATATGTGTGTGCACACCAATTTCCTAAGTGGTGGTGGCTTAGGCCCTGGGGATACAATGTTGAAGAGGGACTCTGCAGTGGGGAAATTGCCAGCCAGGGCAGGAGACAAGCTTGCGAGTCAACAATTGGATTACAAGGTCCAGTAAGCACACAGGTACCTCTTGCAAAGTGCAAAAATAAAGTCAGGAAAGTGCATCAGAAGCTGCTTACTCCTGTCAAAGTAGGTTTCAGGGAGACCTGAAGGTTCTCTAAATTAACAAGCAAGAGCATTGTAGATAAAAGGATCAACATGTGCAAATGCATGGAGGCACATGGGAAAACATTTACAAAGAGACGTTAAATATTAGATTTTATCCTGTAAGCAATAACAAACCACTGAAAGTGTTTGAGCGAGAGCAACTGAGTCACATTTTTGTCTTAGCCAGGGGAAAATCAAGGTTCAGTGGGACCTGAAGCTTGTACAGTTTGTGAGGTAGGACTTTAAGAAAAGAATATAGACTTGTGAGTACAAAATTAGGCTCAAAGGTAGACAGAGTATTTCTAGAAGCTATTCCTACACCTGGGTAATAACTATAAATAGAAGAGATACAATGGCTCACTAAACCCAAACTAAATGTAACCCCTAAATCAACTTCCACTTAGCTGAGTCTCAAAAATGTCAGGCAGCTCCAACACCACCTAATACAAGAGAAAGTGTAACTGACTAGGAGGAAACCAGTGGAAGGGGAAAGCAGTTTTAACCAATTGTGCCTTAAATAGAGTTTGCAAACTTTATAAAAACCTATGACCATGTGACCATATGACAAGTGATAGGTCCTGCAGCTAAAGCTTTCTTAGCTTCACAAGGAGGCAGGAGGGGGCTCGCTTTGGCCATAATAAAATTGGAAAGACACAAAGAAGATTAACATGGCCCCTGCACAAGGATGACATGCAATGTTATGAAGTCTTCCATAATAAAAAGGAAAAATGAAGGGAGACAGGAGGGAGGAGGCTGTTGCATTAGTAATGAAAAAAAGATGAGGCCTGAATCAGGACAGCTGCCACACAGGTAGAAAAGGATTAGATAAGTGGTATATTTTGGAGATTTAATAGGCAGGGCTTGGGTACTAATTGAAAATAGTAGGTGAAGGAGTGAAAGGAGTGTAAGTTCATTTCTGGGTTGGGTGTCAGGAGTGGATAATGGTGCCATTGACTGAACTAGAGTGCACAGAAGGAAAAGCAGGTATGGTGGGGAAGAAGAAACTAAGTTCAGTTTGGAGCACGTTGAGTTTAAGTGTGTGGGGGACATTAATTCACTGACCCAGAAATTCTTGAGCATCTACTATGCACCAGGCACCATGCTAGGTGCTGAGGATGTAGTGGTAACCCAGATAAGATCCTGGCCTCCATGGACCTGACATTCTACTTGGGGATCAGTCAATAACCAAACAAATACAGTTTCATTCATATATTTATTGAGCACCTGCTATATACCAGTCACTGTTCTAAGCACCGGGGACTCAAGGCAAACACAAAAAGACCAGGTCCCTGCCCTCCTGTGATTCACATTCCAGCTAGGGAAATAGACAATAAGGTGAGTCAAACGCGAGAATCTCAGATTGCAGTGAGTGCTATGAGGAAAATAAAGCAAGTAATGAGATAGAGAAAGATTCAGGTAGAAGTTAGTTTGTTTTAGATAGGGTACTCAAGGAAGGCCTCTTGGAGAAGGTGACATGTGATCTGAGATCTGAACAATACGAAGTGACCAGGGACAGGGCAGAAGGAATAAAAAGTGCAAAAGTCTTTTTTTTTTTTTTTAAAGATTTATTTATTCACTTGAGAGAGCGAGAATGAGAGAGAGTACATGAGAGGGGGGAGGGTCAGAGGGAGAAGCAGGCTCCCCGCCGAGCAGGGAGCCCGATGCGGGACTTGATCCTGGAACTCGGGACTTGATCCTGGAACTCCAGGATCATGACCTGAGCCGAAGGCAGTTGCTTAACCAACTGAGCCACCCAGGCGCCCAAAAGTGCAAAAGTCTTAATGTGGTGGTGGGGGGAGGGCAGTTCAGGGCGCCCTTTCAATAACACTTCCTGAGCATTTATGATGGACTGGCCCAGATACAGGGGGTGCCTGGGGTGGGGTCTCCAGCCATGAATAAGAGACCCTGTATTTACCCTTAAGGAGTAGACAGTCTAATGAGGGAGTCTAGGTTCATTGAACAATACAAGGCCGAAAAAAGTCAAACCCTAAGTTCTGCCTATACAGGTATCAGCAACATGTGTGGGAACAAAGAGCCACAGTTGATTCAAACGTGTTCGGTTGGTATGTCGGGAAAGCCTTCACAGGAGCTGGCGTCTGACCCAGGTATAGTAGTACTCATCCCTGAAACTTCCTCCCCAGTGTTCTCGGGAGGTGGGGTGGGGGTGCTAAAGGATAATGGGAAAGGCAAAGCTGCAGGGAGGCTGCCCTGGAGTCTTTCCTCCCCTACCCCACCTCCACTTAACAGTTATAAAAATTTCCTTTTAGGGGCGCCTGGGTGGCTCAGTCCTTAGGTGTCTGTCTGCCTTCAGCTCGGGTCATGATCCCAGGGTCCTGGGATCAAGCCCTGCACGCGAGCCCCGCATCGAGCCCTGCATCGGGGCTCCCTGCTCAGCGAGAAGCCTGCTTCTCCCTCTCCCACTCCCCCTGCTTGTGTTCCCTCTCTCGCTGTCCCTGTCTCTGTGTCAAATCAATAAATAAAATCTTTTTAAAAAATAAAAATTTCCTTTTAACTGTAGAAGCAATACTAAGTGCCTTCCCAATGTAAACATTCAGACAGGCTGAAGATACCCCTGCCCACCACTCAATCCCTGTTTACTTCCTTAGAGGGAACCTCAGTGGCCTCTTTTCCAATTCATCTCTCTGCATATGTTATGTACATTTAACTGTTGAGATGCAAAATGAGAAGGGCTAAAGTGGACTATAAAGTACGGGAGAAAGAAGGGAAAATGGAAAAAATAACATGAGGAAGAACAGGCTTGCTCCAAAACAGACTGAGAAGTACAAGGACAGTGAAAACAAAAGAAAAATAATGACAAAAGAAAAATAAAGATAATAACATTATCTGAGGACTTACTATGTGCTAAGCACTGTTCTAGGCTCCTTACATGCATGTGTTAACTCACTCAGTCCTTAAAGCAACCCTATGAGTTAGGGACGGGTACTATTCCCCATTTTAAGGATAAGGAATTACAGGCATATCTTGAAAATATGGTGGGTTCAGTTCCTAAACACTGCAATAAAGTGAATATCATGATAAAGTGAGTCAAATGAACTTTTTGGTTTTTCAGTGCATATAAAAGTTATGTTTACACTATACTAGTCTATTCAGTGCGCAATAACAGTATGTCTAAAAAACCAACATAGATACCTCAATTTAAAAATACTTTATTGTTGGGGCTCCTGGCTGGCTCAGTCAGTAGAGCGTGTGACTCTTGATCTTGGGGTCATGAGTTCAAGCTCCATGTTGAGCACAGAACTTACTTAAAAAAATACTTTATTGCTAAAAAATGCTAACAATCATCTGACCTTTCAGCGAGTTGTAATCTTTTTGGCGGTGCAGGGTTTTGCCTCAATGTTGATGGCTGTTGGCTGATCAGGGTGGTAGATGCTGAAGGCTGGGGTGGCTGTGGCAATTTCTTAAAATAAGACCACAATGAAGTTGGCCACATCGATTGACTCTTCCTTTCAGAAATGATTTCTCTGTAGCATGTGGTGCCATTTGATAGCATTTTGCCCACAGTAAAATTTCTTTCAAAAGTGAAGTCAATCCCTCAAGCCTTGCCACTGCTTATCAACTAGGTTTATGTCATATTCTAAAGCCTTTGTTATTCCAACAGTCTTCACAGCATCTTCACCGGGAGTAGATTCCGTCTCAAGAAACCACTTTCTTTGCTCATCCATAAGAGGCAACTCACCCATTAATTTTATCATGAGATCATGGCAGTTCAGTCACATCTTCAGGTTCCACTTCTAATTCTAGTTCTCTTGTGGTTTCCACCACATCTGCAAGTACTTCCCCCACTGAATTCTTGAACACCTCAAAGTCAAACGTCATCCATGACTTAAAAAAAAAAAAAATAGCTTGCATTTTATTTAAAACCAACCAAGCACTGATAAAAATATCTATCACGGCAGCTGTGATTGCACATCAAACCTTAACAGTAAGAACTTGGCATGGAATTCATTCTTCACATCATGTGCTGGGCCTGGCAGAAGACACCCACCTCCACCAGAGCCTCAGAGGAAGAATGAGACCCCTGGTAGAAAGGGCTCAGGTGGCAGGCACTCTGCCCTTCTCCAAGCTCTGAAGGGAAGGGGCCCTGTAGCTCTGGTTGTCTGCTCTGCCACCTGGGTGGATCCTGATCAGCAACTCCTTAGTATTGAAGAACCATCTGGAGCTGTGCAGACAGGATTAGTCCCCCTTTCTCCTTCAGTATCTCTGAAATCCCCCCAGGGGATCTGACGGCCATTGCAGGTTCCGCGGTATAGGCACAAGCCTATGAAGCAGTCACCTTTTCTTTGGCTGAAGGGGGATCAAGATTCTGATAGGGAAAACTCTCTGCTTGGAACCAACTTCTTCTAAACTCTTGTTAATGTTGATATGTTGACTTCTTCCCATGAATCATGAATGTTCTTAATGGCATCTAGAATGGCGAGTCCTTTCTGGAAGGTTTTCAATTTACATTACCTAGATTCATCAAAGAAATCACTGTGGCAGCTATATTGTTAGGAAAGGTACTTCTTAAATAATGACTTGAAACTTGAAATTACTCCTTGATTCATGGGCTAGAGAATGGATGTTGTGTAGCAAGCATGTAAACAACATTAACTTCATTGTACATCTCTATCAGAAATGTTGGGTGACTGGGTACATTGTCTTTTGGAAAGGAATCTTTTTTTCTGAGCAGTAGGTTTCCATAGTGTGCTTAAAATATTCAGTAAACCACGTAAACAGATGTGTTGTCATCCAGGCTTTGTTCCACTTATAGAGCACAGGCAGAGTAGATTTAGCATCATTCTTTTTTTTTTTTTTTAAGTAAACTATGCCCAATGTGGGGCTCAAACTCATGACCCTGAGATCAAGAGTTGCATGCTCTACCAAATGAACCAGCCAGGCACCCCATTAAGGGCCCTAGGATTTTCAGAATGGTAGATGAGCCTTGGCTTCAGCTAAAAGTCACCAGCTGCATTTGCATCTAACAAGAGTCAGCCTGAAGCCAGAGATTGGCTTCTCTTCTCTAGCTATGAAAGTCCTAGATGGCATCATCTTCCAATCAAAAGCCATTTTGTCTGCACATTTACTGTAGCCACCTTCATGAATTACCTTAACTAGATCTTCTGGAGAACTTGCTGCAGCTTCTACATCAGCACTTGCTGCTTCACCTTACACCTTTGTGTTCTGGAGACTACTTCTTTCCTTAAACCTCATGAACCAACCTCGGCTAGCTTCAAACTTTTCTTCAGCAACGTCCTCAGCTCTCTCAGCCTTCACACAACTGAAGAGTTAGGGCCTTGCTCTGGATTAGGCTTTGCCATAAGGGAATGTTGTAGCTGGTTTGATCTTCTATCCAGACCACTAAACTTTCTCCATATCAGCAATAAGGCTGTTTCACTTTCTTTTCTTCTTAATAAAGATTTTACTTATTTATTTGACACAGAGAGAGAGAGAGAGCACAAGCAGGGGGAGTGGAAGGCAGAGGGAGAAGCAGACTCCCCGCTGAGCAGAGAGCCTGACGTGGGGCTCAATCCCAGGACCCTGGGATCATGACCCGAGCTGAAGGCAGACGCTTAATGGACTGAGACGTCCAGGCGCCCCAAGGCTGTTTCTGATCATTTATGTGTCCACTAGAGTAGCAATTTTAATTTCCTTCCAAAACTTTTCTTTTGCATTCACAATTTGACTGTTTGGTGCAAGAGGCCTAGCTTTCAGCCTGTCTTGGCTTTCAACATGTCTTCCCCACTAAACTTAATCATTTTTAGCTTTTGATTTGAAGACCTGTAACTCTTCCCTTCATTTGAACACTTAGAGGACATTGTAGGGTTATTAACTTACCTAATTTCAATATTGCTGGGAATGGGGAGGCCTGAGGGGAATGAGAGAGGTGGGGAACGGCTGGAGGGTGGAGCAAACAGAACACACACAATATTTATCAATTAAATTTCCTGCCTTATATGGGCACAGTTCATGGTGCCCCAAAACAATGACAATAGTAACCTCAAAGATTGCTAATAAGAGAGCACCGTAACAAATATAATAATAATAATGAAAAAGTTTGAAGTATTGTAAGAATTACCAAAATGTGACACAGAGACACAAAGTGAGCAAATGATGTTGGATAAAAGGGCGCAAATAGATTTGGTGGATGTAGGGTTGCCACAAACCTTCAATTTAAAAAAAAAAATCAAGGGCGCCTGGGTGGCTCAGTTGGTTAAGCGACTGCCTTCGGCTCAGGTCATGATCCTGGAGTCCCTGGATTGAGTCCCGCATAGGGCTCCCTGCTCGGCAGGGAGTCTGCTTCTCCCTCTGACCCTCCCCCCCTCATGTGCTCTCTCTCTCTCAAATAAATAAATAAAATCTTTAAAAAAAAAATAAAAAAATAAAAAAAATCAAGAACAAAAACACAAAAACAACACCCTACTATATGCAAAACACAATAAAGCAAAGTGCAATAAAATGAGGTATGCCTCCCTAGAGACTTTACCACTTGCTCGAGGTCATATAGCTAGTCCATATCCAAGATGGAGTTCCTGGTGATACAGGTCCAGAGTCTATGCCCCTCACCACTCCATTATTCCACTAGTTGGATTTAAAAACAACTGGTGTTTCTAAGATCGATGTAGTGGGGGGGAAGGTAATCAACCATTCTTCGCATAATTTGAATCACAGAAAGCAAAATAGGGTTTACACTCACTTGGGATAAAAACTAGCAGGATGGTCCCTCAGGTGCCAAACTAGGTAGGTTAAGGACACCAACCCACTCCTCCAGGGCTTGCCTTAAGAATGTGCCACCTGTGGGGTTGCTGTCTTGACATTCTTAATAATTTTGTCTTTGAACTTGAGTCTTGTAATTGTAGTCCAACATGACTATGGAGTATACACACGAACGGTAGAGATACACTGGATGGCAATGTGCACAGCACGGGGGCACGGTAGGTTATGTGCGTGCTGAGCGGTTGGTCAGGCTGCCTGGTGTGCACGAGCACATCTGGGGCAGTCCGGGGCACCATGCAGCCCAGAGGGGAGACAGTGGGCCAGCGACCATGGTGGCCGCGGTAGCAGAAGCAGCTGTGGTGGTGGGGCGGCTATAGCCCCAAGAGAGAGGATGGCTTCTGCCTAGAGGCGGTGATGGGGCCCGGGGTGAGAGGCAATCTTGCCCTTCTGTCAGCTGAGTGTGTCCTGGCAGCGTCTGCACAAATATGAACTCTGGCTTGAGCACTGGGACTGCTGGTGCCAGGGCAGTAAACTTTGTCAGGAAATTGTTACAAAATAAAAGTGTATGCAAGGACGGTGCAGTACGGTA